TGTTTGGGAGTGATTTTTGCAATCAAAAATCAATTTTTGGGTCAAATCGAAATGGCCCACAGACAGGTTAGTCTTGCATGGTATCTACACAAATTGGAAATTAACTACCATATTATCCTCCATATGCAAATTTAACACCTTTCCCTCACCTCAAATTATTACAACTTTGACCAATTCAAACATGGCATGCATCATTTGAAAGAGTCATTTGATGGTCCGCCAACACCACACGTCCTTTTTGGCAATGCAACGTGCCAATTAAACCAAAATAAAGTACTAATATTTTTTTCATTTTCCAATTCGCAAAGCACGACAATAATTTGATAACTCAAGAATATCTAACCAAAAGGGGTGAATTGGTTTTTGATAATCCAAGAATATTTTCAAGTCGCATTTCATTGCTTCTTCTTCAACCGATGACGATTTGAGTCTTTGAATACTTAAAAAGATATATTCATGAAAAATTCAAGAAACAAAACTTGTTAGCGACATAAATGTATTGTTTGTTATAATCAAAACAAGTAGAGGTAATCATAGGTCAACAGTTGGCACATTTTCCTTTCTTATTTTTCATTGTTTTCTCTTTTGTCTCGGTGTGATTTAACTCATATAGCATCAATATTTCATAAAACATAAATGTATTGTTTGTTATAATCAATACAAGTGGAACTATATTAAATCATAGGTCAACATAATTCTGACACGCGAAATAGTAATTTCAATTATACATGGACATAATTATTGTAGGATAACCACGTTGTTATACAAACTTTTAGCTTACTGACTTTGAGCCAAGTAATCTCAAAAATGATCCCACTCATTGCGTTGTATTTCTGGTGCATTCATTTCAGCTGCGGCTTCTTCGTGTAGGACTGAAAGTTGTACCTCCGTCGCGTCCGGATCCGTCTCACAATTGCGAACCCCTCGTCGACACCTCCGGCATGTCGAAGGAAGTTATGTATACCCATAGTAGCTATGACAACGACAATCTGCACGTTGAAATTGTAACTTGAAATACGATCGAGAATTGTCAATCGATTTTTCCACACACCAAATTCACGTTCTATTACATTTTTGCACGACGAGTGCCTGGAGTAAAATTTCTCACGCGCGTTTCGAAAGTACCCTCTCCACCCCGTCTAACCATCGTAAAACTGCTGAAAATAATACAATATATTTGGTCCCTTATATGGAGCCATCTACCCAGGTCTATGTGAGAATCCAGAGTCGACGAGATAATATTTATCAAGGCCAGGATGCGGAAAATCAATTTCAGGACTATGTATAGCCCTTACCAGTATGCGTGATCTCCGCCCACCCTGCATGCACAAATGTGAAACATAAATTGAAATCACATGCTGCAAAAACATTTTGTGTTGGGATGCCCTTGAGTCCGATAAAATTAACTCGTTCATCCCGCGGCATGATAGCTTTTACATGTACTTCCGTCAATCACACCTATGTAATTTTGAAATAATGGATGCTTGTTGATATTTGGTACGTGATGCTCGGCACCGTGATTATAGTTCGGATCAGGTCTTATTAGATGTTCACTAAATTCCACGACGGCTTCAAGCACCTTCTTGAAATAATGTCCAACAGTTTCCAAATAATGGTTTAATAGCGTTTGCACATGTCGTACCCTTTTCCATGCACTAATATGCACATAAACATCCCAACTTGTTCATACACGTCTATGTGCTGGCCACTACGTAGTCTATATTCGTCGCGGAGTATATATGTGAATGTCCGTAGCGTTGCGGGATACATCCGGAATTCTGCATAACACTTCTTGGGACTATATTTCATGGCATCCAACATGAATATGTGTCCGTTTCTCGCAAATGGGAACCTTCTCACTCAACTTCTCTGTTCGCGATAGTATGTAGCTACGTCTATTTCTGCATGTCGATAGTATCGAAACCATTCGACGATGTCATCTTGCAATTGTTGCACAACTTCGTCTTTGTCAATTTAAACTTCATCATCGGAGCAAGGCATGAGGTCACAATGAAAATGAGAACGGGCCATTTCACTTCGTAATATTACTAATAATGTCCTACGCACTTTGAGATAAATGAGCAGTAAGAGGAAACATGCTCACAACTCTTCCAATACTTTTTTTGTTTAAGATATTGGTTGAATATTTCCTTATATAGACCGTGCTCCGTATTTCATGGCATCAGTACAAATCATTGCACAAATGAATGACATGAAAAACTGGACAAAGACAAAAACCAAATTATTGGCACTGGTGTTGTAAGGAATCTTGTAGGCCATTATGACTCTAGAAAGATTCTTTTGAAACTGAGACATCCAACAACAGTTTAACAGTAAGCATACAATTTTTTTTATCCCCTACAATCCTCATTCCGGTTGCCTCTTCATATCATCTTTTCAGTACCACTCAACCTAGTCCATTTTTTCATCTACGTCGTCCTGCACGTCAACAATCTCCCTATTAGCCCTTCTGCTCAGGAACTTACAAGTCCAGAAGTACAACTCAGTTTTTTTATGCAGTCTGTCCGTCGCCAACAACTCTTCCAATATTGTCTTTGCAGGAGTCATGGCAGGACCAACCAAATTGTCTATTTTTTCGGCTACTTCTTGATTGGCAAAGGCTGCGCGGTCAACAGAGTATGACAAATCTCTGGCTCCTATTTTTGCTCTCTTCTCACTTGTGTTCTTGCTGCCAGGTCAACGATTGTCTCCACTTTGCAGCGGCCTGGAGACGTCCATACTAGAACAACCCGACCAGTTTTGTCTCCCTCATCACTTGATCTGCTCCCCTCCTCGCCGTCCAGATGAGCGTCGTGCAGGTCTTCGTAACCACTATCCTCAAACATAGCGAATCTTGTCCGGCACATCTGGGACAGTGCGACCGCATACTTATAGCTGTTGAAGGCGTCCCCGAACAACACATTGTAGCTGTATACCTCTATGCAGTCTTTGTCTCTGTATTCTTTGTTATCCTTGTTCTCCTGTTTGACATGCAAAATATGAAAATAAGTGCCCGATTTCAGGACTATGTGCACAACATAAACCACAACATGACTAAAGAAGATTGGAGATAATATAAACCACTGTTATATGCAGGTAGCTGTTGGGCCAATATGACTAAAGATGACGTTATAAAGTTTATATAACATAAATATATAACCAACAAAATAATAGGTAAGCTGCAGATTATTTACGAATTTCAAACATATGAAGTCTGGAACTTCTGGCATTTATTTGATTATCAATATATTTAGGATTAAGGGGATGAACCTACAATAATTACACCAAAAGGCTCAGCTAAGCTGGAAAGGGTAGCCAACTTGAAGGTCATTCCATTAGCTAAGAAAAAAAAAAGCAAAAATACCGTATGCATGGTGAATAGAGAATTTCAATAATCAAGAAATTGCATCTAGCTTCACTCAAAATTCTGAACTAATTGGAAAAATGGAATCAAACGAATTTATGGGAGGCCCCAATAGATAACTTATTCGACCTAAGAAATATACTTATTTTTTTCCAAGAAAAAATGGAAATAACATTGGTACCATACCGTCCACTATTCTTTACAATGATACAAAGTGAAGTGGCTGGAATTACCAAGACTTAATCGTATGCTTCATCACTATAATTCAAAAGTCTACAACTAAAATACAACTCAGCACAAACGCAGTCAATTAACAGGGACTCGTATATCCTATAATGAATGAAGAACAATTCAATCATCATATCCATAACAACGAATTGCCGGAAACGTGTAACATTAACATAAGTATGTAATTTCAGAAAACAGAAGATTGCAACCGCACGATTTCTTTTTCAGTGAACCTAGTGGGGACTGGGGAATCTTCAAACATATTAACATTTCAATTTTTCGAAAACTCGAACGCCAACTCACGCCAACTCATTATAGATTCTCTTCCTTGTCGTTGCAAGAAATACTAAAAACTGTGAAAAAAGGTTGGTACAAGCAAAAATTCTTGATACCTTAATCTTTCACTCACACCACTCGATCGAGGCAACAATTGTTCCCGTTAAGGAGTTATACTCGACACCACTGCAGTTCAACAGCTCCGTGAGTCTTTTATGCTTTTGATGGAGACAATCCCAATGATTCTTCAACTGTTACTTGGTCCAGCCGTGCCCGGAGTTGGTGTTGAACAACTGGATCACTTGGTCCCAACTGTGTTTCGTGAAGCACTTTTCGTTACGGTGACCATCGGCTATCACCGTCTCGCATGCGGCCACGAAAATTTGGTTATCACATTTGGTCCAAAAGGCGTTCTTTCGGGCTAGTGCTAGGTCTGGGTTGGAGGTGGACGAGGAACCGTTGTAACCCATCTGCGATGACAAGCCACAAAACATCAGAGTGCGAAATATTTTTGGTGACGGTGGTTAGGTAATCAGCTTTGACGTGAAGATGTAACAAATCGACCCTTACCGATGACAGTCGTGGATCCATAGTGTGAGAGCGATTTCTCCTTAGTCGGAAAACTTTACCGACTCCATCCGGATGCGTTATGACTGTTCGTGGAGTACTCGTCTTACTTTCTGAGGGAAGGATCTGTTAACACGTCATCAGAGAACACTTTTGACGGAAGGGGTGTCAAATGGTGCGGATTTGGGAAGGAAATGACACTCTCGGTTGTGCTGAAATCGCAATTTGGCAGCAAGAATTTCTGTGGAAGGGATAGGATGAAAGAAATTGGGAGCGATGAATGGATTGGGTTGGTGAGGCATGTAATGAGGAGGGCAAATTGGGAATTTTGAGTCTTATGGCCTGACTTGGTGCACAAATGTTGTCAGATTATGTTGAATTAAAAAATCAGCAACGATCCGATTTTTGCTATTTAACAATCCGAATTTTAATGGATCGTGCACTCAGACACGCCCTAAATAGAAAAATACCCTAAATAGAAAAATATACCCTTACTAGTGAAGGGTTTTGGCCAACCCAATAATACAAGTCCAATAAAAAAGTAAAATAAACTAGTCCAAAAGTAGATGACCATGTGTATCCCCATTTCTCCTTGCATTAGGCTACTGGACATATCTCATAATCCGTCTTCAAAATCAAAGAATTGCAACAAAAGAGCAAATATACAAATTTCGAACATAAATTTTCCATAATTCATTGTAATATCAAATCAAAGCCAAACAAATTATCTTAAATTATTTACATTTGAAAAAAGCTTACAGAATAGAAACCATCAGACGAGTAACACGTTAATCATGTTAAAATTTTACGTGTTGGTGGGTACTTTACTTCTATTCCTCCATGAGGCAAGCAAGAAAAGTTAAACTGTAGAAGCAGCGCTTCCTCATCATATACTCTCTAGAGACGTGTGAGTTATGACAAACTGTGTTACATCATGACACAATAATGGGAGAGACTCGATTTTTTTGATATAACAACTCTTTTTTAAAGCTCTTTTTTCAACAAATTTAATGGATTAAAAAAAACGACAAAACGAATACCTCCATACGAGTTTGGCTATTACTAATGTCTCGTCCTGTCAGAGAAGTGAGACGAGGATGGAAAACACAATTCTTTCATTGAATCTTATTTCTTATATTGTTTAAATATATTTTTCAAATTAAATCGTATAAAAAGTAATGTTTTAAATAGTAATTTTTAGGAGAATTTGAGATTAAAAATGTAGAAAAAAATTTTATTTTACGTACAGAATATTTTATTATATGAATGTATAGTTAAAAATGAGCATGTAAAGAAAAAAAGTTTTCAAATAACGATTGTCAAATAGAAGTTGAGTTGGCATTCCAATGGGGATAGGTGGGAGTCGCAATCCTAGTCGTTAAATGCAAGGGTGGTGGAGGCCATGTGTAGCCCACCGCCTACTTTCATTAATGTGGCCAAATATTGTTGATTTTTTTCTAATTAATGTTGATTTTTTTAATACCATAATATTGTATCGAAAATATGTGTTCGTGAACTGCAAATGATAATATTTTTTATTTTTATCATTTGGTCGTTGAAGCCAAATTTTGGGTCACGATGAAGCTAATGTCAAACCCTATTTGGTGGGAATTAAAATGGGAAAATTAGGTCCACCATCTTTAAAATAAAATATTAAATTAATATTCTTAAAACTGATTAGAACTACGAATTTTCATATTAATTACGCCCAAATTGATTTTGTCACTTTTTTAAAATTTTGACTTTTTTTTTTTAAATCACTCTTTTGAATTTCTTGGCACTTTTCATTTAATAGTTTTTCTTTTCTCTTTTTATGAAATTAAGAGTTTATCATACAAGAGAAATATTGGTTTAAAGAGGGACATGATATGTCACATACTTATTAGCATTGATATATATATTGGCTCCTTTAAAAAGGTAACATTATATGTAACTTTTTTAGCTTATACGTAAATATAAGGGTACATCGGTTGCTTTTTATTTTTGATAAAATTACATATCAATGACAATAATAACAATTTAGTCTTTTTTTAATAGTGTCAAAACTTATCTTCTTAAAAAAGTGAAATGATACGTCACTTTCTTAATAAAAAAGTGACATTTACGTTTTAACAATGATTGTTGTTTGTGCAATCTATCGATCAATAATTTTAATCATTTTGTCACTTCTATATTTATTATTTTGTTCCTATTTGTCTCTATAACAAATGAAGATATTAATTTATCCATTACTGCAAAAAGAATATAAATGAAATATGACGGGATTTAAAAAAGAAAATGACAAAGTATGTCACTTTCAATTTTCAGCAAATTAACTAATGCAAAAATTACAAATTAAGTATTGCATCATGTCATTTTTTAATGTAAAGTAAAATTTGAATTCATGTTCATATTTATATCGTATCACTTTTTTTTTTTAAATGTAAAACAAGGTTATATTTTTTCATCAATTTCCAATTTCTTCTACAATGGACGTGGACCCGACTGCTAGGTGAAGTGTATTGTAGTCGGACTAAAATCTTTTGTACAAGAGCACATCTTTAAAAGGCTATTTACAATTTGCCCATTTTAACCCTCTCCCCGCGTAATTAGCAAATAACGTCTTTACCTTTCACTATTATTGTGAAAACGTCCTAATCTTTCATTTTTTGACAATCTCACCATTGAAATTAGATTTATAATATATTTTGTTGAAAGTTGATAAAATGTGTTGTTAAAAAATTTTGAATTTCATAAAACATATGAGCCCGTTTGGTGCACGTTAAAATGAGAGAATGCATTTTTTTGAAGTGATGTGATGGAAAAGAAAAATGTTAATGATGTGATAGAAAATATTATTTTATTCAAAAATGTGTGGCTGAAAATGAGTAACATTTTTTTGAAGTGATGCGATGAGGAATATGTGATTGAAAAGAAGGAAGAGTTATTGATGTGATAGAAAATATTATTTTATTGAAGGATGTGTGGTTAAAAATGAGTAGAAGAATGAAAATGAAAAAAATAATGTGAATCAAACTGGGGTATAATTGAAATTAAATGCTAACTTTAACTTTAACTTGAATTAAAATTTTGATTTTAATCTCCATCAAGTAGTGGCTAAATGTTAAAACAAAAATGCTTGGAGGAATGAAAGAATAATGAGACCGTATCAAATTTACTTTTAAGTAAAAAATTTATTTCCAAATACGTTATCGAAGTATAATAAAAAATATGCTAACTATCTTAAAATAAATAATTTACTTATTTTGAGCTTTATTAAGGGGGTGTTTGATGGATATTATTAAGTAAATAATATATTTTAAATACTGATATGATGAGAATTATGTGGTTAAAAAATAAGAAAAAATATTATTTTATTGAAAAATGTACGATTGAAAACGAGTTTTGAAAGAATGTGTGTCAAACAGGGGTTGAAAAACAAATTTTAAAAATATAAAATTATTTTTTAAAGCTTGGCCAAACGCTCCCTGTCCCAACTAATTACACGGCCATAATGTGCTTTATCACAATTTCAATAAATATTGTATGATTGACGTCTCATTTTTCTATTTAATAAATAAATGCACCTGTCAACTACCACCTCAACTAGGACGTGTGTCCAAGATCTAGCCAGCACTAAGATTATTTCTAGGAGAAATAATAGTTAATTAGGAGATTTAATTATTATTATTATTATTTTTTGTGTCTTAAATGGATTTTATCGAATTTATCCATTTCTGTTTACACGTGAGGGAAGGCCAGTAGTTAGAACGGCCTCACGTGAGGGATTTCTATAGCATTGCTTGATAGAATATTTAAAAATATATTTTTCTTTAAATTTATTTTTAATTATACATTTTTTTTAATAAAATTACTTCGCATGCAGACTCATACATTTTATCTACATTTTAATCACACATTCGCCAAAGAAAAAAATTCTTCACAAACTCTACGTCAAATATGCTATAAGTAAATAAACAAATATTGCATCATACTTTTATGTTGGTGTTGCGTCATACTGAAATAATATATTAGTAGTATCTATCAGGTTAAATCCACCAATGACCACCAAATTTCATATTTAGTGTCATTATAACCATTCAAATTGATTTTATTTCATCGTGACTATCCAACTTTATAGTTTGTATCACTATAACCGCTTAATTTGATTTTATTTCACCATGACCATCCAATTCTATATAATATTTCATTATAACCACTCAATTTCATATAATATTTTACTACGACAATTCAACTTCTTTTCATTATTTTCATTAATTTTAGAAAGGATATAACAGAAACTTTGCATTATATATATATATATATANATCCAATTTATAGCTACAGCACCTGGTGCAGCCTGATTTCTTGATACTCCTACTGAACTTAGGAGTGTTTGTGTTGTGAAAACACCCATCGCTCCACCAAAAAAGTGCTACAGATGAAAGTACCAATAACCGTCAATATTCTATAGCAGCCACAAAACAACTAAAAGGTGTAAATCCCAACAAAATAAATTGTGCTAAATGATGAATTGGCACCATAAATATAGTTAAATACCTTCAATGCTCTCCAAGTCATGTATGGGACATAAGCAGGTGTAACACTGTCAGGAAAACCTTCGGGGACTACGTAAGACCTTATAAATGTCATCATCCCCTGCACCACCAAGACAACATAATTGAGAGAGGTAATGTTTATTTTGTAACGGAAATCTAATGATGCAGTTCCCCTTCTCCACCATTGTTTTCCTCTAACTTTTTCATTGATATGCATGTAATGTTTATTGAAGAGAGAGATTGGATGTCTTATTTCTGTTTTCTTCATAACGTCAACTCTGATACCTACCCAGCTATAACTGCAAGATGTCTTGCGTAAATAGCAATTACAAAATATGAATTATCGTGCTAAGTACTAAACCGTTTAGTGCATCTCCAAGACATTTAAATGTGAAATGCTCTCTATTTTAAATAAAAAGTCAACCCTTAAAATTATGCTCCAAGACACTCTCTAGATTAACATTTAAAAAAAATAAAAAAATCTCACTCTCTGTAATTAAATGTATTGACACCATGTTTGATACACATTCTTCTAAAATTCATTTTTTTCTCCTTCTTATTTTCAACCACACATTTTTCAATAAAATAATATTATACGCAAATCCAAAAAAATTCTTATTTTTTAACCATATATTTTCCATCAAAATACTATTTAAAATGCATTATTGAGAGAATAATGTGGCTCAAACATGGTGTCAATATTCTAATTTTCAATGCTCCCCAACTAAATATTTTATAGGAAAAAAAAAGGAGGGAAATGATATAATAATTTGCATGGAAGTTGGTGGAAATAAAAGATAGAAAAAAAATAATAAATAAATATTGGAAGTGTTAAAAGATAAAAGGGCATTTGAGTATTTAAAATTTTTTACATGCTTTCTAAATTGTAAAAACGCTTTTTAAAAATAGAGAGCATAGTGAAAAATGAAAATGCTATTAATACAAGAGCTATTCAGTTCTCTTGTAAAAAAATAAGAATGGAATATAAAATATTTGAAAAATGATATTGGTTATTAGCTGCTTTTTTTGGTTGAATAAAATACCAAAGCAGTCCATATTGTAAGCAACTGATTAATCAAGAAACTTGACGAACAACATTTTAGCTCATAAAATGGGATGACAGGAAGTTATCATTTTTTGGAAGAAACAAACGCAATTTCATATTCAAAATAATAGACGTCCGAAAGCTTAAATGAATTACATCACCACAAAAAATAAAAATGTAAAGTCACTCTCCTCAAAAAAAATTTAACATCAATGTCTATGTTTGTGTACAAAGAGACAGTTGGAAACAAAAAGAACCTAAGAAGAGAAAAAGAAAATACTGACATCAAAAGGGGCCTGTGGATCATGCAGGCTAACAGCACGAATAGAATTCTTCTTAAATTTCTTGGAACCGTTAGTTTTAACACTGTTATTATCAGCAAAATATTTCCACCGCTGGCCATCGATCTCCTCACAGCAGATCAATCTGAAGCTGGAATCAACAAACTGGTCCTCGACAAGTCCGCCAAAGTTGGAATCCCGAATCAATGGCCGCTCGGGCACGGCCGCCGGCGGAGGTGCCGATGCAAGGTTGGCGCTGATGCGTAGCGTCTCACGGACAAGCAAATGCGTATCAGAGGAGGTTAGGGTTTGGGAAGCGGAATTGGACGGATGCTTAAGTTTCATTTTGTAATCAGAAGAATTTACAGCTGAGAATTGGGGGAAAATGAGAATAAGAATTGGCTGTATATAATAGAAAGAGAAAGGCCTAAGAGCGACGAGAGAGAATGAATAGAAAAGTACAGACGGTGAGCGGAGTTTAAGAGAGTTTTGCTTGGCTCGCTCTGCTCTTCTTCTCTCTAGAGAGCGAGGAGAGAGACAGAGAGAGAGGACCACAGGTGTGGGAGGTGTCTCTGCAAGGAGAAGAGGACGGTGATGATAGAGAGTCACACGTTGGCAACCTAGAAAAATTTCGTTACAACTTTTGTAGAATTTCACAACAAACGTCACATCCATTTTTTATTTCAAAAATTACTTTTTAAATATCGACATAAATCTTAACAACTCATTAATTGTACTATTTTCCTTAAAACGAATGAATAATTCTTGTTGTACATAATTATTGTACTGTACATAGAGATGTCATGCTCTATGTACAGTACAATAATTATGTACAACAAGAATTATTCATTCGTTTTAAGGAAAATAGTACAATTAATGAGTTGTTAAGATTTATGTCGATATTTAAAAAGTAATTTTTGAAATAAAAAATGGATGTGACGTTTGTTGTGAAATTCTACAAAAGTTGTAACGAAATTTTTCTAGGTTGCCAACGTGTGACTCTCTATCATCACCGTCCTCTTCTCCTTGCACAGACACCTCCCACACCTGTGGTCCTCTCTCTCTGTCTCTCTCCTCGCTCTCTAGAGAGAAGAAGAGCAGAGCGAGCAACAAGCAAAACTCTCTTAAACTCCGCTCACCGTCTGTACTTTTCTATTCATTCTCTCTCGTCGCTCTTAGGCCTTTCTCTTTCTATTATATACAGCCAATTCTTATTCTCATTTTCCCCCAATTCTCAGCTGTAAATTCTTCTGATTACAAAATGAAACTTAAGCATCCGTCCAATTCCGCTTCCCAAACCCTAACCTCCTCTGATACGCATTTGCTTGTCCGTGAGACGCTACGCATCAGCGCCAACCTTGCATCGGCACCTCCGCCGGCGGCCGTGCCCGAGCGGCCATTGATTCGGGATTCCAACTTTGGCGGACTTGTCGAGGACCAGTTTGTTGATTCCAGCTTCAGATTGATCTGCTGTGAGGAGATCGATGGCCAGCGGTGGAAATATTTTGCTGATAATAACAGTGTTAAAACTAACGGTTCCAAGAAATTTAAGAAGAATTCTATTCGTGCTGTTAGCCTGCATGATCCACAGGCCCCTTTTGATGTCAGTATTTTCTTTTTCTCTTCTTAGGTTCTTTTTGTTTCCAACTGTCTCTTTGTACACAAACATAGACATTGATGTTAAATTTTTTTTGAGGAGAGTGACTTTACATTTTTATTTTTTGTGGTGATGTAATTCATTTAAGCTTTCGGACGTCTATTATTTTGAATATGAAATTGCGTTTGTTTCTTCCAAAAAATGATAACTTCCTGTCATCCCATTTTATGAGCTAAAATGTTGTTCGTCAAGTTTCTTGATTAATCAGTTGCTTACAATATGGACTGCTTTGGTATTTTATTCAACCAAAAAAAGCAGCTAATAACCAATATCATTTTTCAAATATTTTATATTCCATTCTTATTTTTTTACAAGAGAACTGAATAGCTCTTGTATTAATAGCATTTTCATTTTTCACTATGCTCTCTATTTTTAAAAAGCGTTTTTACAATTTAGAAAGCATGTAAAAAATTTTAAATACTCAAATGCCCTTTTATCTTTTAACACTTCCAATATTTATTTATTATTTTTTTTCTATCTTTTATTTCCACCAACTTCCATGCAAATTATTATATCATTTCCCTCCTTTTTTTTTCCTATAAAATATTTAGTTGGGGAGCATTGAAAATTAGAATATTGACACCATGTTTGAGCCACATTATTCTCTCAATAATGCATTTTAAATAGTATTTTGATGGAAAATATATGGTTAAAAAATAAGAATTTTTTTGGATTTGCGTATAATATTATTTTATTGAAAAATGTGTGGTTGAAAATAAGAAGGAGAAAAAAATGAATTTTAGAAGAATGTGTATCAAACATGGTGTCAATACATTTAATTACAGAGAGTGAGATTTTTTTATTTTTTTTAAATGTTAATCTAGAGAGTGTCTTGGAGCATAATTTTAAGGGTTGACTTTTTATTTAAAATAGAGAGCATTTCACATTTAAATGTCTTGGAGATGCACTAAACGGTTTAGTACTTAGCACGATAATTCATATTTTGTAATTGCTATTTACGCAAGACATCTTGCAGTTATAGCTGGGTAGGTATCAGAGTTGACGTTATGAAGAAAACAGAAATAAGACATCCAATCTCTCTCTTCAATAAACATTACATGCATATCAATGAAAAAGTTAGAGGAAAACAATGGTGGAGAAGGGGAACTGCATCATTAGATTTCCGTTACAAAATAAACATTACCTCTCTCAATTATGTTGTCTTGGTGGTGCAGGGGATGATGACATTTATAAGGTCTTACGTAGTCCCCGAAGGTTTTCCTGACAGTGTTACACCTGCTTATGTCCCATACATGACTTGGAGAGCATTGAAGGTATTTAACTATATTTATGGTGCCAATTCATCATTTAGCACAATTTATTTTGTTGGGATTTACACCTTTTAGTTGTTTTGTGGCTGCTATAGAATATTGACGGTTATTGGTACTTTCATCTGTAGCACTTTTTTGGTGGAGCGATGGGTGTTTTCACAACACAAACACTCCTAAGTTCAGTAGGAGTATCAAGAAATCAGGCTGCACCAGGTGCTGTAGCTATAAATTGGATTCTCAAGGTAATCAGGAGAACTGGGGAAGTACTTTTTTATTTTATAAAGCTTGACAAGCATTTTTGCATTGATTGCTACATGGAAATATGCAATTTGCTTTGTTGGGTGCATGCTTGCATGTGTGTTTTGGTTAAACCGTGAATTGAAAGAGAAGTGGTGAGATGAAGGGAAAAAAAGAGATTCTGAGATTGATTTCTCAAGATAGTTTCATCACGTGCGGTATCACTTTATTTCCTTAAATGCTTATTCAATCTTTCAAAATCCTCTTTAGATAAATGTACACCTTATATTCTTGTACTTCTTTTTGTGTTTTTGTTCAAAGTAAGCACCTATAAACAATAATGGTCACTTTTCTGCGTTTCCAGTTGATCTTTCAACCTCTTTACTAATAGTACACATAATATTCTTGTACTCCTTTTGGTGTTTCTGTTCAAAATACGAACCTGCAAACAATAGTGAACACTTTTCTTGTATACTTATTCAATTAGGAGCCTCAGAAATCGTGGGTCCCACTTCTTCTTATTTGCATCTTTCGACGCTGTTCAGTTTTTGTGGTTTTAAAGATTTTTTAACTTTTTTTAGTGACTAGACATTGGATGTTAAGTATAGAGAGAACATTGAAACACTTTCTCCAATCTTCATGTTTTATCTCATTGAGAAGCTAATGTGGAGGAACCTCTTCTGTCATGGTTCATTTCATTTTCAGGTAATTCTTGTTACGACTTAGAAATTGAAGCTTCAAGGGCTAGGGTAATGTTGAAAGTTGTATGTATCAAATAATGTTTCATCAGTGGATAGGTGGAATCCATGAAGCTCTGCTATTTATGTTCCTCATGACATTCTTTTGTCATTGAACCAAATGACACTCGGGATTAAGTTACTTTTGAATTTTGTTCACTAGGAGAAGATGGTTTTTTTACTTAACATTTTACCCTGATTTATTAAAAAACAGTTGTGGTGTTTCTTTCTGCATCCCAGTTTATAGTCCTTCATTCATAGGTTGAAACTGGTTTAAAGAAACTAATCCATATTCTGTGGTATGGCTAATTATAGGATGGTGCTGGACGGGTTGGGAAGATGCTTTTCGCTCGGCAGGGAAAGAAATTTGACTACGATCTAAAGCAGGTATTCTATTCCTTAGGTTTGTGTGTCGAAGAGGAAGGATGATTTACATTAGCTAATGCATTCATTGTTGCTGGAAACACTACGAATATAACTCCTTATCTTCTGATGATCTCACATCACTAGCTCCGGATTGCTGGTGATCTTTTAATGGAGTTGGGAGCTGGGGTAGAGTTAGCGACTGCAGCTGTTCCACATCTATTTCTTCCATTAGCCTGTGCTGCCAACGTGGCCAAGGTTTTGTCTATTATTGTCCTTCTCATTTCTCAATGTCTTGCAATGGAATACTACCTTCACACATTCGTCTTCACGCGCTTGTAGAATGTTGCTGCTGTCACATCAACCTCAACTCGAACCCCAATATACAAGGCCTTTGCTAAAGGAGAAAATATTGGAGATGTGACTGCTAAGGGAGAATGTGTTGGAAATGTTGCTGACCTGGTATGCTTGTTTGATCAAAATGTTGTCTTATTTTCTGGCTAGGATGCAACAGATACTACTAATCAAAACGATGTTTAAAACTTAGTCTCATAATTTATTTTTTCGGAACATTATATTTGTGAAATTGCTTGATTTGTTAAATTCTATAGTATGTGTCACCTTAGGTTACTTTGGATTTCGTGTCAATATGAGTTCACGATCAAGTGGATTTTTTTATGGCTATGGGGGATAAATCAGGAAAATGGGACCAGAAGCCTGGTTTTTGATTTCTACATCCGTTGCTGGACGATTTCAAGATATTTGTTGCCCGCTCGCCCTCTTTTCTCAATGCCACTGAAAACCCGCCCACACTATGTGGTAATTGGGGATTTCAGTGTGGGGACGTTTAGACATGGCACACTTCCTCTTATATAAATAAAATGACAAACGTAAATGCAGAATGAATATGATAACCAATGTGAAACTAAAAAGGAAGGGCCTCCACATTCCAAGCTTATCATATACCAATTTATCCAATGTTATGTTGCTTTTGAAAAACAGTGCGAGATTTCCAAGATATTATTAGCTGTTCTGGTCTGAACTCCATTTATTTCTTTTTCTAAGCCACTGCACAATTTA